TAGAAAAACAGATTTGCCTCCAGCTACAGGCTTTGCATTTTCGACAACCCAAAGAATTTTTACAAACTTTTTGATTCACCCTCACCTTGAAGCCTGGAAAACCCCCACAGAAGGCTTTAAAATTCACCAGACATAAGAGAGAAAAAAAAGAAAAGAAAAGCCACCAGAAAACAGCTCTGGCTGAGGGGCTCTGAGACGCGACACCAAAGGAAATTCTCACTGTTTCCACTGACGCTGCCACTTCTGTCAACAGTCAGAGAAGTTCGGCCCTGGGCAAAGGTGACAATGTGTCCACGCTGGACCCTGACACTCCCCACTCCGGTCAGGGCACAAGGCATAACATTGTCTTGCCCGTGACTTGAGCTCCCAAATTCAAATCGCTACACTTCAGGGTGTGAATTCTGTCTCCAAGATTTAATTTAACAATCTACCCCACCCCCAGGAGAGGTGCTGAGAGAAAATAATTATCAAATGGGAAAAGGAATGCTGGTTGTTTTTCTTTTCAGACAGGGTCTCACTGTGTAGCCCAGGTGGGCCTCAAACTCACGGTGATCCTCCTGCCTCAGCCTCCTGAGTGCTGGGATGACAGGCGTGTGTCTCCACGCCTGGCCTTAAGAAACACATTTCTGGGCTGGGGATTTAGCTCAGTGGTCTCACCGCCTGCTGCGCAAGCACAAAGACCCGAGTTTGATCCCCGGTACCAAAAAAAAAAAAAAAAAAACGCAAAAAGAAACACACTTCTGAACTGGGTAGCTCTGAACACAGCACTTTGTTCAGTTGCCTTAAAAAATAGAGTAAAATTGGTAAATCTCTATATTTCAGAAATCAGAATTTAAAAGTCCTCTAAAAAGCTTCAATGGAACCAGAATAGGACCATAAATCCCTTCAAAATCAAGTTGAAAAAAAAGGCACTGGACACTTCAATTCTCAGTATAGATGGGCGGGTGTGGTCGTGCAGGCTGGTCAGCCTAGCACTCAGGAGGCTGAGGCAAGAGGATCTCTGTGAGTTCGAGGCCAGCCTGGGCTACATAGTGAGCCTAGTCAAGGGTCTTTAAGCAAAGACATGGCTGTCCCCTGGCTGCAGTGCTTACGGATGCAGCCCAGGGATCTGCTCTGCCTGGTTTGGATCCAGCCTGCATGACGAGCAGTGACGGGCACCGTGACCTTGGACAAGTTACGTAGCTTCTCTGGGGCCATTTCTTCATCTTCACTGGGGATAAAAAGGCTCCTCAGGGACCATGAGACACGGCCAAGCCAGGGAATGACTCCACAGCGCACAGCAAGGGGATAGGCAGTGGCAGGCGCTACTTGAGTGATTTTTATGCTGTAAGGTCATGGGACACTTTCTCAAACTCTGGGTATGGACACAATTTTTAAAATTAATTTTTCTGACTGGGTATGCTGACGTGGGCCTGGCATCCCAGCACTCGGGAAGCTGAGGCAGGAGGATTGCCTCAAATTCGAGGCCAGCCTGGGCTACACAATGAGACCCTGTCTAAAAAAAAAATTCCCATTCACCTCTTTCCAGGCGGCACAATAATGACCACACGGGTAATGAGTGTTTCTTCTATCCAGCTGAGGCCTGGCTGAGCCCTACTGGCAGATAATTATTTTAAGGCAAATCATGGTTGTGGCTAATGCTGGTAACTTTGGCTTGGTTTCCTACATTTGAAGAAATCCCCTATGGGGATTAGGGGTAGGACTGGGAAACACTTGGGTTTGTCCTGCTCTTGTTGAAGAGCAAGGCAAATTCACACGTACTCGCCGGATGAAAATATTAGTCACCAGGTTAATCCCGACAAATAACAACTGCGCCTGGCTCAGCGATGTATTTCCCCTCCCTGTCCCCAGCCTCCCTCTAACTAGTCAGAAAGGAAAGTTTTCATTTTCTGAGAATCTCATTACTGATCTCAAACCAGGCTCTCCATCTTAGTAAAATTTTAAAAATGAGTCAGTCCCAGCCCTGCAGAACCCAGCGCTGCGGGCCCAGCAGGGCTTCGAGGAGAGGACAGGAGAAGCGGAGAAGCGGAGAAGCGGAGAAGCAGAGAAGCGGAGAAGCGGAGAAGCGGAGAGCCAGCATCCCAGCAGGTTCTGCAAGCTGGCCCCAAAGCAGGGAGAAAAAGAGAAACATTCATCTCATCTACCCTCGGGGCATGACACGGGGACCTGGGAATCATTCTCTTGGGGAAGCTGAAAGGGCAGCAGGGCGTGGTGGTGCACACCTGCCATCCAGCCCTCGGGAGCCGGGGCCAGGAGGACGGCTGTGAGTTTGAGGCCAGACTGAGCTATGGAGTGAGGCCCTGCCTCAGCCCGCTCCCCACAAAAGAAAGAAACTCAAAGGGGCAAATACCACGTCTGAGACGAATGACAAACTTCCTTCCTGAAGGTCAGGGTGGAAGGCAGGGGCGGGGAGACCCTCGGCAGCCACCTCTGCTGCATCCCCAGCAAGAGCACACGAAGGAGACGTCCTGACACTGGGCGTGCATCGGAGGCTGGCTCGCTCGGCAGCAGCCCGAGTCATCCCCTTTTAGGACAAAGTGGGTCCGTGGCCGGGAGAGGCCATCTGCTCCCACCAGTGGCTGTACGCCGGGGCCGGGAGCGGCTCGGTGCAGCGCTGTTACACAAGGACCGGGTTAGAGGCCCAGCACCTTAAGGAAAAGGGAGACCGAGCATTTAAAAAGTATCCAGAAGGAGCTTTAAGGCTGAAGGTGACACCTAGGTGCTGCCACATCCCTGCCATCCAGCACTCGGGGGCTGAGGCAGGAGGATTGCTGTGAGTTCGAGGCCAGGCTGAACTACATAGCAAGAGCTTGCCTCAAAATCAAAACAAAAGACTGAAGGTGATTTCTCCAACATTCCACTCCAGTATCTTACACTTCTCCTTGGATTTTTTGTTTGTGTGGATGTGTGTTGGAGACAGGGTCTCACTACGTGGGCCAGGCTGGCATCAAACTTACGACGATCTTCCAATCCTCCTGGCTCAGCCTCCCAAGCGCTGGGATGGCAGGTGTGCCCACCATGCCTGGCTTCTCATTGTTCTTAACTCCTGGCTGACAAGGTGCGTGGCTTTTAGGTAAAGTCAGAAAACCTGCTGCAGTCGCTGCTCTAGACATGAGGGTCCGTGTGTGTCGGACACCGATGGCAGCTCCTCCAGAGTGCTGAGGAGCCGGGGATTTAGCTCGGTGGTTCTGCTCCCTGCCTCAAAAGCACAAGGTCCTGAGTTTGATCCCTGGTACCAAAACACCCACAAAAAACAGAGTGCTGGGGCCGAAGGCCTACGAAGGCTGTTCAGCTCTCTCCCTCTCCGTCTGTCTCTCTCCCCGTCTCCCCCTGTGTCCTCTGTTTCTCCCCTCTCTCTCCGCTCTCCATTTTCCAGGTACTGGGAGGAGACAGCAGCCCCTGCTCCTCTGCTAACTGTACATCTCTTGCTGCGGTTCTTGTCTTCAGTTTTCTCCCAGGGCTGTCACAGAGGATTGCAGCAGGTCCTGCCTTTCCCGTGGGTGTCGCCAAGCGAGCAGCACAACGGGCTGACGACAAACCACAGGACACCTCACAGTCTTCAGATGTTTAAAATAAAAATGTGACGCTACAAGCAGGCGGACGTGTGGACCTAATTTTGAAAATATAAACAGGAAGCACCCCCACCTCACTATTACCTTAAAAAAAAAAGGAAACCAAACCCCAAGACACCTCCCAAGGAAGCCATGGGTGTGACCCAAACTAACAAAGTAAGAAAACGTCACCTGAACCCCAAAACCGCGGAGCAGTTCCCACTCCAGCAAGCAAGCTCTGAGGTCTGCAGCGAGCGCCCCTCGTTGACCAGGAAAACAGCCTTCATTTGGTGGTGGAGAGCAGGCTCCAGGGCTTAGGTGTTTTTTTGTTTTCCTTTGTTTTGTTACCAGTAGAAGACCATCTTAGAAAAGCAGACATCGTCGATATTTTACTTCAAACAAGGCCTCTATAATTAAGAGCGGGTACAACTTTAAAGACCTTTCTGTCACTGTGATGCTTCCAATCTCAATGTACAAGAAACTGTTTGAGTGTTGGAAATTGGGTAGAGTTGATTTTCTTGTTCTCAGAAATTAGCATAAAACTGCTGATTTATAACACTGCCAGGGAAAAAATACTTCTGATTCCAAAATAGTTTTACTCACAAAATCCATATTGAAAAAATAGACCTTTAAGCACCACACATATTTGGGACAGTCATACTTTATTTTGTTTTTTGTGCTTTTTTGAGACAGGGTCTCGCTATGTAGCCCAGGCTGGCCTCAAACTCGAGGTGATCCTCCTGCCTGAGCCTCTTGAAGGAACAGTGATACTTTAGAGCTATCTTTTAGGGGTTTTTTTTTTTTTGGTACCGGGGATCGAACTCAGGACCTTGTGCTTGCAAGGCAGGCGGCAGAACCACTGAGCTAAACCCCCGGCTCCCTAGAGGTATCTTTTAAACATTATTTTTATTCAGAAGTTCCAGAGTCCAAGTCTTGTGGTACTTTATTATACAGTAAATGGATATTCAAGAAGTCAGGAACCTGGATGTGCCAGGTAGTTTAAAAGAGTAAGTTTCAGGGAGCTGGGGATTTAGCTCAGTGTTGCCACCGCCTGCCTCGCAAGCCCAAGGTCCCGAGTTCAAATGCTAAAAAAAATTTTTTTAATTTTTAAAAATTCATAAAAATGTTTTTTAAAAGGTTTTTATACCAGACATGGTGGTGCATGCCTGTTACCCCAGCATACAGTTTCAAGCCAGCCTGGGCTACATAGTGAGTTCAAGGCTGGTCTGAACTACATTGGCGACACCCTGTCTCAAAAAAAAAAAGGTTTTATGCTATATTTTGTAGGAATAGTATAATAATATATACTCTATCTTCCCATAGAAGAGAGAAATGCATAGGCAACAGAATATCCAGTTCTAAGATACCCAGGGCCCCGTAGAGGACTAGAATAGTTAGGGTTCCTCTGATTCCTTCTGCTCTTCAGTCTGTTCACCTCTTTATCACATCTTTTTTTTTTTTTTTGAAACAGGGTCTGGCTGTGCAGTTCAGGCTGGCCCTGAACTCACTTCATACCCCTGTCTGGCCTTGAACTCGAAGTGACCCTCCTGCCTCAGCCTCTGGAGTACTGGGATGACAGGCTGCCAGTCCACGTCAGGCTCCTCCCATCTTTCTTGCCAGCGGACCACAAGGCTCAGGTACGCGCACGGTAACAAGCCCAAGGGATCCCAGCCAGCACATTCACAAACACAAGCCCTACGCAAAAGAATCCGAACCCTAACAGTAAATTTCACACAGAAAAGCGGCCTCCCACAATCCAGGGCGCCTTAGTCTCAGTGTGGGTTTTGCATATGTAAATAAAACAAAAACAAAGTCAGGGAGAGGGGAGAACAGAGGTGAAGTGAGGACTCAGGGCGCAGGAAGTGCGGCCAGTGCGCTGATGTCGCAACCCTGCAGGCCTCGGTGCACACACTTCTCACACGCATCGCATCGGGCATCACGCCCAGAGCACACTGAGGACACTTGGCCCAGGTCACAGCCTGCGGGCAGAAGGAGGGAAGCCGGAGGGGAGCGCCGGGGAGCAGCGGGGTGCCAAGGGGTGCCAGGCCGGGGTGCAGAGGTTCCCTGTGGAGTTTACTCTGAGTTACGCAATAGCCAAACTGCTGCTGATAGAAATCAACTGGCTTTTTTCCCTGATGTTTTGCTTTAAAAAAACAAAAATCTCTCCATTCCCTCCCTGTGTCTTAGCCTGGTGCTGAAACGTTTGTGTCCGGCGTCCGCGGAGAAGGGATCTTCCACAGAGGACACCTGGGGTAAACGGGACACACGGAGTCACCGCTGCACCGCACATTCTCCTTAAAAGCAGCAACCTCGCCTTCGCTCAAGGCTCTCGGTGTGATGTGTGTGTCCTTCGTGAGACGCCGTCCACGCCAAGGCCAGGAAGACCAAGCCTCCTGAAGTCGCTGGGCACCCACCTGAGATGCCCAGCGCTGGCCCACGTCCCCACTGTTTCTGAACCAAGTCATCCACAACAAAATGCACCCTCTCCCAGGAACCACAGACACGGAGCTGAAAACAACTCAGCGAGCAAGCCCACAATGGCAGAGCCAGGGAGAGGCGCGCCCCGGCATGGTCACCCAGGGACAGCACCACGGGAGGCCGGGCAGCTGACCGCACACCAGGGCCTAGCAGCGCCGGGACTGGGCGCCCGGAGCTGAGCAGCAGAGAAGCACCGCTGGCCCACCCAGCACCGCAAGGCTGGGGATTCCCCCGCCAGGGACAGGGCTCAGGGCTGGGGTCTCAGGGCCTCGGCTCTCAGGGCCCTTCCGGCTGGAGGCTCCACGACCTGTTCGACACATGCGGGGCAGGATCCTGGGGGACGGGAACCGGGATCTATTTTTGCCGTTAAGACCCTCCTGGTTTCCCCGGATCCCTCTGGTCCCTCTCCCTGCACGGGGCGGGACTAGGTTTCATCCCAGCCTTCCCCATCCAAGCTGGCTACAGGTGTCTGCGCCAGCACTGGCCGCCCACCTCCAGATTCCGGAGGACGCCCCTTCCCTGGGGCACTTTTGTACTCTTTATCCCCGGCTAGGAAAATAAAAGGAGATGAAATAAAGGACTCCCTCCATCGCAGGCCACGGTGCAGGCCAGGCCCGCGGGTCCTGAGGGCCCAACCTCAGCCTTACCACAGGCGCTTGTTGTCTGAGTCCTTATAAGGCGCTGGTGCTGAAGCTTTTGGTACCCATCCCACAGGCACCCCGCTCATCTCTCCTGGGGGGCACCGGCACCTCCTTTTTTTGGTGGGGGATGCCAAGGGGACGCGGGGACTCTTGGGCCTTGGGACGGGAAGGTGCCAGGGGCCCCCTCGGCCCCTAGGGGTTCAGCGCCGAAACCGCACACCTGCAGCCGCGCGACCCCCGCGCCCCTCTGGCGCCGTCCCCGGTCTCTAGGGCCCCGATCCGATTGCCCCCCAGGCTCCCCGATCCCTAGGTCCCCGGATCCCCACTGCCCCCCCCGCCCCAGTCCCCAGGGGCCCCGACCCCGCGCCTCCGCGGCCCGGACGGTGGCGAGGCCCGGCCTCGGGGTCCCAGAGTCGCCGCCCCCCGCCGTCAGCGCCTACCTGGCCCGCCCGGCCCGCGCGCCGCTCCTGGTCCCGCGAGGCCGCGATCCGCTCGGCCGGGTGCGCGCCCGCCCCGCGCCAGCGCCGCTTCCTGGTTCCGCCCGCGCGCGCCCGCGCCAGGCCGGGCGGGGCGAGTGACCCTGGCGGGGACTCCGCTCCGCGTCCCGCAGCCCGGCCCGGTCCCGCGGGGCCCGCGATCTCGGACCCTGGGCCCACGCGGCGCGGCCTGCGCGGCGCTGACACTGCGGGCGCGGCCGGGTCCCGTCCCCTCGTGGGCAGGCGGCCGAGTCGCCCTCGCCCCTGCTCGTGCCCGCGAGCCGGTTTCCCTGGCGACGCCCGGGGCCGCGCCGAGCTCTGGGCCGCTCAGCCCCTCGCCCGCAGGTGGAGCCGGGCCCTGTCGGCCACGGCAGGCCGGGTCTGCGCACAGTGGCTGCCGGGCCGGGTGGGCGCAGCAGCCCGGAGCTCTCGGCCTCCGTGCCCGGCCCTGCTGCCCTGCCTGGGGCGCCACTTTTCCCGGGGTCACCGCTGCTCGTGGGCCGCTCCTCTCCCGCTGCCCTCGAGACTCGCAGGCCGCAGGAGCCTCCCTCCCTGTCCCCACCCGGCCTCGGGCCTCCAGGTCCCCACCACGCTGCCTGCGTGGTCACTCCAGGCCTCTGGAAGGGACACTGCAGGAACTGCGCCCCTAGTAAGAGCGGGGCGTCTAAAAGCGGACTCCTCTCCTGCAGTGTGGCCTTGAACTCTTCTGCCTCCATCGCCACATTTGTTAACGTACAGGATAGTTTCTACCTCATGATGCCTGAGTGTGGTGGTGCACCCTTGTAATCCCAGCAAGATTAGGGAGGCTGAGGCAGGAGGATCACCACAGATTTAAGGCCAGCAGGGGCTACACAGTAAGTGCATCACTAGGCTGAACTACCACATAGCAAGACCCTGCCTCAAAAACAGAACAAAACACTATGAAGCACTATATTGCTATTACCTGTTACTGACCAAGAGCTTACTCTGGAGGCTGAGGCAGGATTGCATGTTTGAGCCAAGTCTGGGCTACTTAGCAAAACTGTCTCAAAAATGCAGATGGCAGGGCATGTATCTGAGGGGTAGAACACCCCTGGGCAGGGTCACCAGTACCACCCTGAAAAGGAAGGATTGAGTAGGGTCTGATCCAGCTCCTAAGGCAGCTCCACGAAGCACCACAGCTGCCAGTGTAGATGCCTGGGGTGGAGCAGGCGTGCCACTGGATGCTTGCAAAACCCAGCACATCGCTGGCTGATTGGCAGGTACCATCTAGACCTGGCCAGCGGGCGGCACAGACAGAAAGGCAGAGTGCTCTGTGCCACCTCAGCAAAGCACAAAACTGTCCCCTGGGGCAGGAGGGATGGTCCCACGCCTACCTCCTGCCCAGTGCCCAGGCCCAGTCCCCTAAATTGAGAAGACATCAGCCTGAAACACAACACAGGAGTGCTGGAAAACAACCAAATAGAAACTCGGTGCAGTGATGGACAAAATCATCCAACCACTGGGGAGGCTGAGGCAGGAGGATCTCGTTGATCGAGGCCAACTTGAAGTACAGAGTGAGTTCAAGGCCAGCCACCGAGCGAGACCCTGTCTCAAAAAGAAATAAAAAAGAAACTGAACTGGAAGCTAGGACCCAGAAAATCAAGCAGAGGACAGTCCTCTGTCCACCCAGGACAGCGGAGGCTGGAGAGAAGAGCCCACCTGCCTACTGCAGCCTAGACTGCTGGGGCCTCCCTCCCTCCTTCTCAGCAGTGAGCCCAGGACACTGGAGCACAGGTGTCCATGTTTCCTCGCCCCTGCCCACCGGGGAGCTCAGGAGGCCTCCTCCCAGGAACACAATGGAAACCAGGGCCAGCTCCGGGGGCTTCCCTCTCCAGCCCCTCTGGATCCTGGGAATCGGCTGTCCCCAGGGGCCACCTGCTGCACATTAGCTAGGAAGGGCACCCTCAGGATCCTCCCTTCTTCCACAGGGGACTCTGCCAGTGCAGGGCCCTGGAGCCCTGGGCAGGAGGCCAGGGACACGTAGGGCTGGGACAGCTCAGCGGGCACTTTGGAGGGGACTCCAAGGGTGGGTAGAGCTGAGGGGTGCAGTCAGCCCTGCTTGCAAACCGGCCCTGCCAGCCTGCCGCTGTGCGACCACGGCCTCAGTTTCCCCTCGAGTTCGAGTCACCATTGTGTCTGGGGCTGCACACACGGCCCCAGTGACGGCAAGGGTCCCCCCACAAGGGACATGGGGACAGGAAGAGGGAGAGGCTCACTGCTCCTCATCTGTCCTTTCAAATCTTACCAGTCTGGCACTGTTACCTGTGACAACACTGGTAACACACAGTTTTTACAAAGAAAAAGTAGACAGTGAGCCAGGCGTGGTGGTGCACGCCTATCCCAACACTCAAGAGGCTGAGGCAGGAGGATCTCCGTGAGTTCCAGGCCAGCCTGGGTGACATAGTGAGTTGAAGGCCAGCCTGGAATTCATAGAGAGACCCTGACTCAAAAGATGGAAAGAAAATAGAAAAGCAGAGAAAGGGAGCTAGAGATGCTCCCTGCACCTGGCGAGCGAGCTCATAAAAGTGCATTTTCCCTCCCGCTCCCCCTATGCTGGGCAGGAAGCTATGCACACTATACAGGTCCCTGCAGGACCTGCCACCCGCAGGTGCTCCGGGCCCCACCTGTTGGGGTCCCTTACCGCCAGTGCTGAGGAGCGGCCTCGCCTGGCTCTGGCACCCGGTCACTGTGCCCGCTCCACCTGCAGTCCTGAGGCGACGCCATGCCTCGTGGGAGGACGGGGCTGGCACGAGAGAAGCAGGACCACCGCGCCTGGTGTGCAGGGCAGGGTGAGAACACAGAGCAGATCCGAGGGACCCCAGCGTTCCGGGTGTGGTGGGTGGGGCGATGCCCCCATGGGCACCTGCTAAGGGCTCCTCCGGGATCCTACGAAGAGGTAACCAGGGCTGGGGCCACCCAAGCTCCACCCAGACCACTGTGTGCCAGGCTCTGAGTCTGAGTCTTTTTTTTTTTTTGGTACTGGGGATCAAACTCAGGACCTTGAGTTTTCGTGGCAGGCACGGCACCACTGAGCTACATCCCTGGCCCTTGGGACTGAGTCTTTTATTTTGTAACTGAGACAAGGCTATGGAGCCCAGTCTGGCCTGGAGCTCATGATCCTCCTGCCTCACCCTCCCAAGTGCTGGGATGACAGGGGTCCTCCTTCAGCTTGATGAGGATCGCCAGTGGCCCAGGCGGAGTGGGACTCCAAGCAGGTGGGGTGAGGAGCACAGGCTAGGTTTGCATCCTGACTTCTTGCCCCGTTTGCTGGATGAAGAGAGTGGTGTCTATACACCGTGGAGTACTACTCTGCCACAAAGAAGGGTGACCTGGAGCCCCCTGTAGGAAAATGGACACACCTTGAGACCGTAGTGTTCATGGAAATAAACCAGACACACGAGCTTCAGTGTGGCATGGCTTCTCTTATATGAGAACCCCAAAGTACAAATAAAGAACAGAATAGGACAGAATAAGGGTCAGGGATTTAGCTTAGTGGTTCCACCGCCTGCCTCGCAAGCACAAGGTCCCAAGTTTGATCCCCGGTACCAAAAAAAAAAGAACAGAATAAAGGACAGATGATAAGAAACAGGGAGACAGATCTTTGCAGTGGGAAGGGTGCAGGAGATGGAGGAAGACAGAAAGAGCGAGATGCATTACGTCCGTGTACCAGCTCCCTGTGTATTGCAAATGTGGACTAATAAAAAGTTCAAAACTATATAGAAAATAAAAGAAGCGAGGGGTGATGGGAGTGGAGGTGGCAGGGAGGAAGCGCCCCAGGCTGGCATGGAGGGAAGCCGGGCACAAAGAGGCTCTTGTTAGGCTGGAAGGCAGAGGAACCCACCGGGAAGAGGGGCCGATAGCTATCCGGCCCAGGTGCTAATTCCAGCGGCCAAGGCCCAGGCTGTGGCCAGGCCGCGGTGCCCACTCCTCGCCCCCCGGGAGCACTGGGGATACTCAGGGCCGGACCTGTCTCTTCCTCCCGAGGGCAGAGAGAAGGCCCAGCCAGCCTCAGCCTGGCCAGGTGGGCACAGGGCAGGCACAGGAGGCAGATCCGCCCATCCAGGTCCCGGCCCTCCTCCCAGCGCCGGTTTCCCAGAAACGGGACCGGCCTCCGGCCTCCGTGGCGCCTTGTGTTCTTCGATGGCTTCACTGTAAACTGGCTTCCCTGAAGAAGAGCAGTGGGGTAAAGCGGGCTGAGGCAGGAGGGCTTCACCCGACCCCACAGCACCCAACTTTCGCACCGAGCTCCTCACCTACGCCCAGGTCCCCTCTGTCCTCAGGGACAAGGACAGCTGGTCCTGGCTGTGGGCCCAGTCTGGCAGGGACGCTGGAGCTCGGGCAGGGCCTGGAGTGGGGCAGAAGTCCCAGCAGGGCAGGGAGGGAGCGGGATGTTCGGCGCCCCGGGGTGTCCCGTGCCCTCTGCCCGGCATGGGGACTTCAGGGACACTCACCCCTGCTGCGTCCCCCCTGGGCAGCAGCAACTCAGCCTGAGGAAGCGACCTGAGCACCACCCTCCACCCCAGGGACCACCAGCCCGCGGTGACCCCGTCTGACCCCTGGCGGGGCCCCCCTGCTCCCAAGGCCGGGTGCCCACTGCCATCGGCACAGCGAGGGTGCCGTGCTGAGGTGCTCAGCTTGGGGGACCCAGGCCGGGCATCAGGAGCAGGCTGGGCCGGGTCTCATTCCGGGGCAGCTGGAGCCCCTGCCAGCCGTGCCGGATTCAGCAGCACGCTGGTGACGGACACGGCCGGCCCTCTGTGGGGGCCCAGGTTCCTGGGGGCTCCTGAGCCCCTCCTCTCTCCAGCCCACATGAGCTGCAGCTGGGGTGCAGGGCGCGGGGACAAGGAGCCCCCTCTAACTCCAGCTCTGTCCGGAGCCCACACGGTCTGGTCTTTCCGAACCCCAAGCTGTTTCTCCTTTCTAGCCCAGTCCCCTAAAACCACCAGGGTGCTTTGTGACCAAGCCAAGGGACTGAAAGCAGAAAGAAACCCCAGTTCGGCGTTTCCGGGGAGCTGTGGCACCCAGAGCCTCCCGTGCCTCACTGCCTGGTGGCCCGGGCCCCTCTTGGAGAGGGTCTGAGGGTCCCCGAGGCCCAAATCTCCAGGGAGGAGAGAGACGGAGAGGGGGAGAGACCCAGGCAGAGTCGGGGCAAAGAGGAAGAGAACCAGGCAAGAGGGGGCCAGGGTTTGGGGGGCCCCAGGGTTCGAGGCCCTCAGACCAAGATGGCGCGGGTGGTCATGGGGACAGTGATGGAGACCCCCAGCCCCTCAGCCTGGCATCTGCAGTTCTGCTCCTGGCACCAGCTCGGGCTCCTGGGGTCCTCACCCACCCCGCCCGCCCGGCCAGCGGGGCTCCGCGGCTTAGCTCTGCCAGGGGCAGGCCACCTCCCCACCCTGGACCTTTCCTCCAGCTCTGATACTGACTCTCACTGGGGGGGACCCCAGCCCGGGCAGACACCCCCAAACACAGTGGGGGGAAGGGGCAGTGGGGCCTGAGGTCCCTTTTCCCGGGTGCCCCGCCCTGCCACCCATCTGGAAAGAAAGCTTTCCCCAAACCCTCCGAGCCCTGGGTGTTTTCAATTCCTTCCCCGTGGTCCTGCTGCTGCCACTGTGACCACCACAGGGCGGGGAACCCAGACATTTCAACTTCTACGGGAAAGCTGCGTTTTTCCCCTGAAGTAAAGAGAGTGAAACCCAGGAGGCTGTGGCGAGGGGAAGGGTGTTGCGGTGAGGAATGAGGAGGAAAGGGCAGCTGGGGCCGGGAGTGGGCAGAGGGGGCTCCCCTGGACCCGGGCCGTGCTGCGCCCCTGGCCCTGTCTGCCGCCGCCCGTGCCAGCTGCCAGGAGAGGCCCTGGGAGGCGAGCCGGGCAAAGGGGAGAGGAGGGGCCGGTGGCCTGGCCCAGCCCCTGTCCGGGACCCACCCAGCGGGGCTCAAGGCAGAGGCTGGCAGGCGGGGTGCTTCGGGGGCTCTGGGATCCCCAGGCCTTCCCCTCCCACAGTGCACCTCTGAGGTCACCAGAGCCGTGGCCCCAGCCCGCAGGACCGCACTCAACTCACACTCACACACACTTTTCTTTTGGTGCTGGAGATCAAACAAACCCACAGGTGTGCTGCCACTGAGTTGTGTCCCCAGCTCCTTTTTGTTGTTGTTGACACTGTCTTGTTAAGTTGCCCAGGCAGGACTTGAATTTGAGATCCTCCCGCCTCAGCCTCCCCTCGTGCTGAGGTTGAAGGCGTGCACCTTCGAGCCCGGCTCCCACACTCGCTTTTTAATATCCGCGGGCGGAGCTGGGCAGCACCTCCCGCTGTCCCCCTGCCTGCTCCCTGCTCACACAGGAGCACCCCAGCCTCGCCCCGCTGGCTCGTGCCCGGGCGGGCGGGGACTCTGGGACCCGCACGGCCCCGCCCCGCCCCGCCGGGAGCTGCGCCCCAGGGCGGCGCGCGCGCTGTTTGGCTGGCGGAGGCAGCTGAGCTCGGAGGAAATCGCGGGGCTCGCTCTTCCTGTAGGAGCAGAGCCAGCGAGGAGCGGGCAGGGACCCAGGTGCGTGGCGCAGGCGCAGGGGGCGGGGCAGAGGCGCAGGCCAGGGAGGCGGGGACCGGTGCGGGAGCCCGGGGCAGGAGACGCGGCAGGGGGCCGGGGACAGGGCCGGGAATGGGCACTAGGACTCAGGGACAGGCGCGGGGACTCGGGGCGGGGCCCTGGTGGAGAGGGTGCCGTCCGTGGGACAGACCCCGCCCGGGAGGGCCTCGCCCCACCCGTCCCTCGCGGCGGCCACCTGGTGCCCAGGGCCACGGCCGCTGGGGAGCGGCCACAGCTGCTGCCCATGTGGGCTGCGCCCTCCGCCGGCCTCTCCTCCGCCAGTTTCCCTTTGGCTTCTGTCCGCCCCTCGCCAGGAAGCCCCCAGGGAGCCGCCTGCCGCCCACTCGGCCCCCCTCACCTGACCCAGGCCCTCCCCGGTGGCGGACACTCAGGGCTGTCGCCCCCCACCCCCACCCCGTGACCACGCGGGCTGGATCCTCGACCAGCAGCTGCAGGGGGACGCCCTGCGCCAGTTGCAAGCCTTGTACGGCCAGCACTTCCCCGCCGAGGCGCGCCACTACCTGTCCCAGTGAATAGAGAGCCAGGCCTGGGAGGTGTCCCCAGGCCCAGCCTCCCCTGTGCTCCGTGTGGAAGGGGCGTTGTCCCCGCAAAAGGCGACGGGAAGGGGACAGAGAAGGTTCCGGACGCTGGCACTGGTGCGCCAGCCCGGTCTGCACGGGTCTGGTGGGGCCTGCAGGTCCCGGTCACCTCCCCGAGCCGCCTGGGGTGCCGACCTCCTCCCCCAAGGAGGCCGCACATGCAGGCCTCTGTCCCCGCCTGTCCCCAGGCGTGCCATCGCTGTAGACAGCCCCCAGGACCTCGCCGAGGCCGCCAGCTCCGGGAGGGCCTGCTGCGGGAGCTGCGGGAGAAGGCGGAGCACCAGGCGGGGAGGACGGCTGCCTGCTGAAGATCAGGCTGGGCCAGTGCGCCACGCACCTGCGGGTGCTGCGGCCTCCTGCAGCCCCCGGCCCTGACTCACCCTGTGACCTTCCCTCCAACTTCCCCCGCCCCTGTGTCATGTTGAAGTCCGAGGCGGGGCGTGGGAGGTGCGGGGGAAGACCCAGGACCACCCAGGAGGGGTCAGGCGCAGGGACGCGGTAGACTCAGCCAGGAGCCCTTCCCGGGAGGCTGAGCAGTGGATTCTGCAGATGAGGGGAAGAGCCAGCTGTGGCCCCCGTGTCATCTCGGCACTCGGGAGGCTGAGGCAGGAGGAGCCCACGACCGGGAGGCAGGGGAGGGACCAGCAGACACCCCCCATCTGCCCGGGGCTCCTCCTGAGCAGCACCGCATCGCCAGAGGGACGGGCTGGGACAAGAGGCTGCAGGGAGGTCCAGAAAGCCAGCAGCCTCTCCCGTGCGGGCGTGGAGGATGAGAGGGAGAGGGGGCGTCGGGAATGAACGGCTTCCGGAGAGCAAGGGCAGCGGGCAGCTGAGGCGGCCGGCCGAGGACAAGGGCGGGCGCGGGGGCTGAGGGTGCTGCGCGCTGCTCTCTCGGAACGCCTGCGGCCACCGCCCCCTGGAGCTGGGGCGCTGCACCCGGCACATCCTGCACAGCCAGCAGAGGCTGGTCCGGGAGGCCGCCGGCGTGGGCACCGGGCCTGTCCCTGCCTTTCTCCCCAGCGTGACAGTGGATTTGTAAAGCGCTGGTGCAGGGAAACGAGAGAAACGCCCGGTAGGCCAGGGCTTAGGGGCCGCCCGGCCCGTCACTGCCGTTTACCAGCTGCGGGGCTCCAGCAGGTGATGGCTCTCGGAGGCTCTTTTCTTCTTTTCCTTTTCCTCAGTACTGGCAGTGAAACCCAGGGCCCCAGCGTGCTGAGCAGGCGCTGTATTCCTGAGCTACATCCTCAGCCCTTTTCAAAAGTACTTTTTATTTTGAAACAAGAGTCTCGTTAAGTTGCTGAAGCTGGCCTCAAACTTGCGATCCTCCTGCCTCAGCCTCCCAAGTAGCAGGGATGATGAGTGGGTAGCACCATACCCAGACCTTCTTCTCTTCTTTTTCGCTGCTGTCTTTGTTGGCACTAGGGATCGAACCCAGGGCCCTACCACTGATTTCCAATCCCAGCGCCATCAATTTCCTCTGCCGTAAAATGGGTCTCGTGCAGAGCTAGGATGAGAATTAAACAAGATGCTGTGTAGCAAAGGACAGACGAACAGAGCAGTGGAACAGAAGAGGAAACCCTAAACACACATGCGTGCACACACATGCACACATGGAAAGTCCATGGCCGTCAGAGATGGCCTTACGCACCACGAAGGACAAGATCTGATATATTCAATAAATGGCTGAGTCTAAAATAAGCAACGTAGCTGGGCGTAGTGACGCACACCTGTGATCCTAGCACTCGGGAGGCTGAGGCAGGAGGATCACAAGTTTAAAGCCAGCCCGGGGAACCTAGTGAGACCCTGCTCTGAACAATAGAAAGCCATGTGGATGTGGCTCGGTGGTCACTCTGGCTGAGCAGAAGTCCACTGTGACGGCGGCACAGTGCCAGGGTGGCCTGATACCCGCTTCCATCCCTCACCACACTGGCCTGGATTTGTGGATCTCCTTATGGCAGCCTGTCCTCCCACCGGCCATACCAGCCTGTGGGCTCTGGAAACACCCAAGTGATCTGTAGTTAGGGTGAAAAAAGGCCTTTTAAAGTTACGGAAAATGTTTTGATTTGGGGTCCCCACAGGGGCTAAGGAACTGCCCGGGGGTTTGCTGTGCTACATTTTTTTTCTTTTTTTTTTGGTACCAGGGATCGAACTCGGGTCCTTGCGCTTCGCTGTACTACATTTTGAGAAGCACTGGGCTTGGTCTTTATTATTTTTCCTAATTGTTTTATCAGTTGCTGAAAGACAGGTCTCAAAATCTCTACGATGCTTATAGAATTGTCTACTTCAATTCTTTTTTTTTCTTCTCATTTTTGGGGGTGGTACAAGGGATTGAACCCAGGGTTTTGTCCTGAGCTACACCCAGCCTCTTTTTAAATTTTCTACTTTGAGACAGGGCTTCGATAAGTATCTGAGGCTGAGCTTGCCCTTGCAGTCCTGCTTAGCCTCCCAGAACACTGAGATTAGAGGCCTGGCAATTCATTTTGTATATACCTCCTTTACATATTTTGAAACTAAAATGTCTTTCTTAATCTCAGGTCATATTGTTTTTTTGTTTTTTTGTTTTTGGCACCGGAGATCGAACTCAAGTCCTTCTGCTTTCCAAGCAGTCGGCAGAACCACTGAGCTAAATCCCCGGCCCTCAGGTCGTATTGTTACTGTTGAGGTCCATGTCATGCGGTATTAACACAGCTACTCTAGCCTCTGGGTCTGCGTTTTCCATGGCATAAATGATCATAAATTATCATTTTAACATATTTATGCTATAGAAAGTGGGGTTTTTTGAATGGTGTAGTTCTGGCTGGCCTTGAACTCATGGCGATCCTCCTGCCTCAGCTTCCCGAGTGCTGGGGTCCCAGGCAGGCGCCACCACACCTGGCTAAAAGTGTACTATTGAGTCTTCCTTTGGATTTGTTCAATCTCTGCTTTACTTGAGAAGTTCTGTCCATTAACCTTTAGCATCGTACTTAACACATTTGGCTGGAGGGCTGACATGTTAATACTTCTCTTCTCTTGTGCCCCTTCTCAGTTTTTACTTTTCTGTTCCTCCTTTTTGATGAAATTTTTTCTAGAACTCCTCTGTAACTATTTCAGCTCTCTTCATAACTTGCCCATCAGCACTTTCTGCCCCAGAGACAGCAAGCACAGTGGCTGAAACAGAGTGACAGTGAGCCATGCCACAGGCTGAGTCAGGCAGGTCTTCCTCCCTCTGAATCCACCCCAATGGAGCCAGCGAGGCCCGGGCTTCCCGGGTTGGGAACAGAGACTCGGGCGAGGGTCCCTGCCTGCCTCCTGCGCTGCTGACAGAGGGCCGAGCAGGAATCCACGGAGAACTGAGCGTGCACCAGGCAGCTCCTGAGCACTTCCTGGGTCCTCGCTTATTCAACCTCCACAGCGGCCTGCAGAGCCCGGACCTCAGGTGGGGAAAGGGAAGCAGGGGAGAGCTAGCGAAGTGTCCGGACTCACCTGGCCAGAGCTGGGCACACAGGTGCCACCGAAGGCAGGGCAGGGCAGGGCAGCAGCAGGTCCGAGGACTCCGCCAGGAGGTGGTGGCAGAGTCCAGCTGCCCGCGGGAGCCTTGGACTCGGGGCCGGGCTGCAGGAGGCCCAGCGGCCGAGGACGGCATCCAGCACTCGGGTCTGCCTCAGAGCTCTGCCCCGTGTCCTCTGCCCTGGGCGCCCCTGGTGACTCGGTGCCCCCCCCAGCCCAGTTCGCACAGCTGGCCCAGCTGAGCCCCCAGGAGCGGCTGAGCCGGGAGTCAGCCCTGCAGCAGAAACAGGCGACGCTGGAGGCCTGGCTGCAGCGCGAGGCGCAGACGCTGCAGCGCTACCGCGTGGTGAGTGGACCCGGGCTGGGCCGGGCCGGGCCGGGGCGGGGCGGGGCGGGCGGCGAGGAGGGCGCTCAGGGCCGTGTCCCCCAGGAGCTGGCCGAGAAGCACCAGAAGACGCTGCAGCTGCTGCGCAAGCAACAGACTGTCATCCTGGACGACGAGCTGATCCAGTGGAAGCGGCGGCAGCAGCTGGCGGGGAACGGAGGCCCCCCCGAGGGCAGCCTGGACGTGCTGCAGTCCTGGTGAGGCCGCGTCCCTGTCCCGCTCTGGCCCCGGGAGGAGCGTCATGGGAAGTGGCCCGGGGTGGGAGCCCGAGGCGGTAGGGCCAGGTCGGGCTGAGCCGCGTCCCCCACCCCGGAAGCGGCATGTCCGTGTCCTGGTCGCAGTTCAATAGGGTGTGGGTCACTAGGGGCCTGTCCCCTCTCCCCAGCCCGGGGCTGGGGTCACAGCCTCCACCCCCAACGGTTGGGACAGACGATCCCGAGCCCCAGGACGTGCAGCTGGGGCAGCTGCATCACCAGGCCAGGGCGACTGAAGGGACCAGGGCCTGAGCCAGTTTGTAGTTAATGGGCCCCGTCTGCCTCGGTTTCCCTCACCTTTCAGATGAAGAGGTGAGGCAGAAATGACTTTAGAGGTCCAGCCAGTCTGGATCACTCTTTATAGCTCCCCTCCCAAGCTGGGCGAGGTGGTGCACACCTGTAATCCCAGCCACTTGAGGCTGAGGCAGGAAGATCACGCATCCACAGCCAGCCTGGGCAATTTAATGAGACCTTCTTAGGCTGGGGATTTAGCTCAGTGGTTCTGCCACCTGCCTAGCAAGTGCAAGGTCCCAGGTTCCATCTCCAGGACCAAAAACAGCAAACAACAAAAACCCTGGGGTGGCCCTGGACCTGGGCCTTAGATGTGTGGGGTGAGCTTACTCCAGGCTCCTCAGATGCCTGCTGGGGACCAGGGGAAGGGGCAAAGGAGCTGGCAGGAGCTGGGAGCAGGCCTGACTTGGTTTCCCCACACCCTCAGGAGAACCTGCCGGGCTGGAGCTACACCTTCTGGCAGTGGAGGTGCTCCAGAGGCAGCACGAGCCACACTGGAATGACAGGTGAGGCCTGGAGGCTGTGGCCCAAAGTGACCCCAGTGCCCCTCCCGCAGCGCCATCCTGGGCTTCGTGAACAAACAGCAGGCACATGACCTGCTCATCAACAAGCCTAACGGGACCTTCCTGCTGTGCTTCAGCGACATGATCGGCGGCATCACCATGGCCTGGAAGTTTGACTCTCGTGAGTGGCGGGTTTGTGTCCTGGCCCGGGTCCCCGCCCACCCCCCCCAGTCCCCTCTCCTGGGCCTGACTCTGAGCCCAACCCTGCAGCCGACTGCACCCTGTGGAACCTCAAGCCCTTCACCACGAGGGACTTCATCTGCTCGCTGGCTGACTGCCTGGGGGACCTGAGCTACCGCGTCGATGTGTTCCCCAACCGGCCCAAAGATGAGGTCTTCTCCAAGTACTACACACCGGTGCTCGGTGGGTCCCTGCACCGCCCCAGGGGCGCCCGGTGGTCCCCAAGGTAGTGAAGGGGGCTTCAGGACTCATGGCCAAGGAGAGAGGCGAAGCTGCTCTCAGTCTGTGTGGCCTTTGAGAAAGGCAGATGCACAGTGTCCCGGAGGCCACGATGCCCCTAGGCCGAGTGACAGCTGTCAGATCTGACGGCGACAGATCGGAGCCCAGGTTTTGACTTCTCTGCAGGGAGTGGAGCCAAAGGATTCTTCGGTATGTTGCACATAGACCACACCTGCGTGTGAACAGTGTTTTTAATAAAATGTGTTTTGGGTAAACTGGCTGCCAGCTGCTGGTGGCCTCCCTGGGTGAGGGGACCCCAGAGCAGGAGTGGCTCCTTCCTGTGGGGCCTGTTTCAGCCTGGGACAGTTCTGCTCCTTCTGTGTCACTGCTTCTCGGGGACCCAGGAGCCAGGTGCAGGGGACTCACAGGCCCAAGATAGCAGGGGGAAGGGACCCACGGGCCCCGCAGGGCTGTGGCCCAGGCCTCTCCTGGCCACTCCACTTCGAGCTGACCTGGAGCTGGGGTTGAGGCCGGCGACGAAGTGACCTGGCTGTGGGGCAGACCAGCAGGGGGCGCCACCCAGCTGCCCGGGGGAGGCGGCCAGCACCGGAGCCTGGCATCCCCCTCAGTAGGGTGGGTTGGCAGGGCCAGGGGCAGGGGGGCCCAGCAGGCAGGGAGGTGAGAAGCAGATGCAGCCTAATCTCTGCTCACATCTCCCAGGGAAGCTGCTGCCTGTCTCTCGGCTCAGCTGCACTGGGCAGAGGAGGGGCGGGGACCCAAGTGGGTGGCTGGCCCGAGTTGCCACCCTGCCTGGCGCACTGAGCAGAGGGTGATAAGGGGCCAACCGCGGGGAGGGCCCTGTGGGGTCCGGACCCCAGCCCGCCCGTGGCTTATCACACCCTGCAGGACCTGACCCCGCCCGCGGCCACCGGCCCCTCACCTGGAGGCTGCAGCTGAGATAAACGGGGTGTGGCCTCACCCTGGGAGCGACGGGAAGGGACCCCCACCCCCAGCCTCCCGGCTGCGTCCCCGCTGGGCTGGCTGGAGGGGCTCGGGACGCACATCGGATGGTTCCATATAACTTTTATTTCTCGAAATTAAAGTAGATACAGCAATATACAAAAACCCCCACAATAATATAAGTTTTTACATTAGGAAGTATACACTGGAACCCAACACAGCGGCCAGGGCAGCGGCTCACACACCAGAGGGGAGAAGCGATGGGGCCCGGGCCGGCTGGGGACAGCAGGGAACCAGGCACCTGCGGAGCTCGCTCTTCCCGGAACTTCTGTGGCCCTCAGCTCAAACCAGATCCACGTGCGGCATAGGCCAGGCCCGGAGCCCTGGATGCTGCCCGCTCCCCACTCTGCGTGTTAACAGTGGCCTCCACAAGCCCACAGGAGGCCGCTTTGTTGTCGTCCCAGGTCGCCCCACGCCTGGCTTCCCCCACCCACCGCTAGGTGTCCCCAGCGTGCGGTGACAGGAGCCCAGTGACTGGCTGTCCGCTGGGCGCTGGACATGGCCCTGCGCTGGCAAGAGGAAGGGCCCTCTAAGCCACCGGGAAGCCGGGCAGAGCCCTGGGTGCAGCCACATGGTGGGATCCCGCGGCCCAAACCCCTCACCGCCAGAGGCGCTGAGGCTGGGATTCCTAAAGTGAGACTTGGGGAGGACACAGCCAGCAGGAGGCCGTGGGCACGGAGGACAGGTGACCAAGGGCGCAGAGCGGCTCCAAGCAGAGCCAGGCGCTAAGGGGGAGCCCACGGTGCAGGCTCCAGGGAGCTCAGGCCCCTCCAGCTGTCCCTGCCCAGAGCCCAAGCCTGTGCCCGGCTTCTGGGTCCCCCAAGGGCAGGGGCTGGAGCCGTCCGTCCTCTGCACGTACTGGCCGAGGACAGCCGAGAGCTTTCCCAGGTCCTCTGACACGGGCAGGAGCTGCAGCCACCAGTTAGCTACTTTAATTCAAAAGGAGCCCTGGGGCTAGAAGTCGAGGCTTCCATGGGACACAACCCGACACGCCAGGTGGGGTCCAGCATGGCTGGGGACGTGGGGAGGAAGCCGCTGGCACCCGGAGGCACTTGGCTAATGGGACCCGGAGAAGCAGGGGAGTGGGTGCGGGAAGAGGGACTCAAGACTCCGCCTCTGCCGCCGGCCACCGTCAGACCTCGGGGCTCCTCACACACTGCCCGCGACTCTGCTTCAAAAAGCGCCAGATGCTCAGAGATAGCAGAAGGAGTAAAAAAAATCTGGAACCACAAGGCTGGGAGATGCTCTGGGGTTTGGCTGCTGGTGGGCACGGAAGGCGGCAGGCCTGGCCCTGCAGCTGTACATCCTCAGCTCCTCACATGGGCGAGGTAGCGCACTCCGGGGTCAGCTCCATGTCAAACGTGAGGGACTCTGGGGAAGAGCAGAATTCGGTCAGCTGCTGGCTGGGCACCCTGCAGGCCTCAGAAAGCCAGGCTTCCGCGTCAGCAGGAGGACCCCTGGCCCCCGGACTACACAGTGACCCAGGCTCCTTGCTCCCCACAGGGCCTCAGTCCCGGGAAGGACTGGCGCTCCCTCCCTCCCACCCTGGCCCAAGCTGGCGTTGGTGCTGCTGGAGGGTCTGAGGCTGCCCTGTGACAGCCGCCTGGCCCCTGGGGCCGTGACGGCCTGAGTGTCCCTGGTGCCAATCAAGGTGTGCTGTGCTCATCAGAGCCCAGCACTTGACAAAGACTTGGTGAAAAAAAGGAAAAATATTCATTTTTTTCTCACACATTGAGACCAGAGTATTTTTCTTCCTTTATTTAATGGGGCCAGGAAATTTACCCTTACACCTTCCTGCTATTTCTACTGGGGAGTACAGCTCTAGCACCCACTCTGGAGCTGGGCATGGTGGTGCACGCCTGTCATCCCACCACTTGGGAAGCTGAGGCAGGACAATCGCTGCAAGTTTGAGGCCAGCCTGGGCTACAAAGTGAGTCCAAGGCCAGCCTGGAGTACACAGCAAGGCCTTGTCTCAAAAAAAGTGAACAAACAAACAAAAACAGAACCTCCTCCTCCCATGCGGGTGGTGACTCTGGGCTCTGTACCCGCGACCGCATGCCCAGGAGATGGAGGGCCCAGGTGGGGTTGAACGCAGCACCACATACTCACCGAACTGCCCTCCTGCTGAGGGCTCAGCACCTTCACCATTATTTCCAAACTGCATCAATGAATCTAAAGTGCGGGGGGACATCGGCAGGTCAATGGTATTGCTGCAGGTCGTTCTGTGGAAATGGGGAGCGCAGGGGCCCGGGTTGACAAGACACAGTGGAGGAGGGGGCCAGACACGCACGCACACACACGCACACGCACACACGCATGCACACGCACAACAAGCTCCACTCTGCGGAAACAGATGCTCAGGCTCTGGAGGCGCAGGGCTGCCCGAGCACCACCCGGCTCCCGGGAGGTGGGCGAGGGCTCAGCGCGCGCAACACAGGGAGGGACTTACGGGGTCACGCAGATGAACTTGGTCTTCAGGTAGGGGGCGGCACCTGGAAGGGGAGCAAGGGGCTTACTGCGGGGGTGTGGTAGATCGTCGTGCAGCTCTTTCCTGCTCCCCGAGCTGCACACACCACAGACGCTGGTCCCCCTGGCCTTGTGCTCGCTCTTCCCCTCCACCGTGCGGGCGCTCGAGGCTCCACTCTGGCCCCGTGCAGACCTGGCCTGGTTCCCGCCCGGATGCCCAAGGAGGCCATGCGGACAGCTCTGCCCGGGCCCCGCTGAGGGTTTTCTTTCCTGTCCTCCTAGAACCTGTCACATTGTCACAGGGTGGAGAGACACACCAGACAAAAGCGCCCTTCCTGTGGTCCCAGCACTCTGACAGGCTGAGGCAGGAGGATTGCCGAGTCCTAGGCCAGCCTAGGCAACTAAGTGACTTGGTGAGACTCTGTCTCCAAATAAAGTTTCAAAAATAAAAACAGAGAGTGGCCTTTCCACGAGGGAAGGGGTCTCTGCAGTGCAGTGTGAGCAGCACAAATCCAGGACACCCTCGGGTGGGTGGGCGGGAGGGCGCAGGTGCAGGTGCACCCTCAGCAGCTGAGAACCTGGGCCAGGCGCTGCCTCTCTGGGTACAGGACAAGGGCAGCAGCCTTACCGCCATTTGTCCTCACCTGGGGCACAGGGCCAGGGGAAGGCGGGTGTGAGAGTGAACGCTACACTAGGAGGCCCAGCCACACTAGCAGGGGCCTCAGGGGAAACTGAGTCAGGGCACAGGATGTCAGTCCACAGACACTGATGAGTGGCCGGCTGAAGGGCCCCCAAGGCCTCAGGGGCCAAGAAACAGATCAACTTGGCCCAGAAGCAGAAGGGACTCCCGAGGCAGGGCCCGTGTGTGGTGCACGTCCACCCATGTGGCCCGGACTCCACAGGGAAGGATTCGCTGTCCAGGACAGGAGCAGAATGCGGGGCCAGAGGGGAAACAAGGGAGGAGGAAAAGTGGCTGACGCCGGCCCTGCAGGGCTGTGAAGGTGCCCGGCAGGAGCAGGGGACGCTGGCAGACGGGAGGGGGTCGGGCCAGATCCTCTCTTCAACACCCAGGCCACCACACGCCTGCAGCTTGCCACGGAGCAGACAGGAAGCCGTGACAGCGCCTCCCCAGGAGCCGCCCCCTCTGGCTCAGGAGCCTCAACAGGCAGGCGACTTGCTAGGCACTGGGCTCCCTCCTCCGGGACTGGCCCGGAAGGAAGGGACCCGCCTCCTGGGCCCCTTGCACCCCTATCCCCCTGAAGCAGGAACAAAGAGCCTGCGCAGCCAGATAAGCAGATCTCCCAACTGAAGCAAGGTGTGTGGCAAGATAAGGCCAGGACAGGAAGCGCGAGGCAAGGCTTCCTGCCAGGGCGGAACTCAGCGCCAGAACAGAGGGATGGGGCAGCAGCGCCAAGGAGCCCAGCCCTCCCTCCTGAGACCAGCGGGGCGGCGGTGCTGCCCCCAGGGCCATGGGGACAGAAACAGCGTTGGGACAAACCCTGAAGGAGCCCTGTGGGAAGAGGAGGTGCCTGGCGAGTCGGCCTGCGCCAGCACGCGACACACGCAGGGCCAGGGCTGCGAGCATGGGGGACACACGGAGGGCCTGGACGATGGCCAAGGGAGCAGCCACGCAGACGGCCCTACACATCACGTGGACCGGTGCTGCAGGGAAGGGCTCACCGGCTCGGCCGCACACTCAGCACCAAGACCACCCGAGACCTTTTCCACCAGAAGCCTTCTGTGCCCCAGGGACACTGCCCAGCGGGTGGGGCCGGGACGGGGTGCACTGGACTCCAGCCAGGGCCCCAGCCTGCCAGCACCCACCAAGGGGCCACGCCTTCTCTGGTCCAGGTGTGTGTGCGTGTGCACATGTGTTTCCCCCACAGACTGGGCACAGGGACAGGGGGCCAATCCTGCCCTCCCCTCGAGGAACAGTGCAGCCCTGAGTTTTATCAGCCCTTCCCCAGTCTAACCCCTCCCGGGATCCTGCAATTTCCAACATTTTCCCAAGAATCAAGTGCCGGAAACGGAAAGCCAACAACTACCTGTTTCAGCTTCCGGGTGCTCCTGGCTCTCGGGCCGGCAGTACTTCCCAAAGGCCTCCTCCTTGGGGATGTCAGGGTACAGGTAGACCAGTGGGGACACCAGGATGTTGGTGGCATCCATGATCTTATAGCCCATGATGATCTCGGCAAATGACATGTTGTTCAGCTGCTGCTTGGTGTATGGCTCCACCGACTGGATCTGGGTCTTGCCTGTCATGGGACACGGGGAGGAAGGATAATGGACCAGGCTGGGCCACCTTGGAGAAAACTGCAGCTTCCTCCTGCCCCCGAGGGGAAAGATGTATGGCCAGGCACTGTGGAGAGGCTCAGGCTGCCTTGAACTCACAGGGATCCTCCTGCCTCAGCCTCCTGAGTGCTGGGATCACAGGCCCACACCCAGCTAGGCTGGCTCTGTGCAAAGCCATCTGGGGGAGGGACAGTGATAAACCTGCATAAGCTGTATGAACAGGAGAGCCAGGGAAGGAGCTGCAGACTAAAGTTCCAGCTGCACAGCCAAGGCAGTCCTCCAGGGGACCCGCAGTCACGGCTGGGCCCCGGCTGAGTGAGTGGGGCACCAAGGCAGGCCCTGTCCTGCAGGGGGCGCCGCTCACCGCTGATGTCCTTCTCCACCCAGGTGAAGGTGACGCCACCCTCCTTGCTGCTCTCGCTGAAGCGCAGCAGGAAGGTGCCGGGCGGCTTGGTGCTCAGGATGGCGCGCTCCCGCTCCTTGCTGATGAAGCCCATGATGTATCTGGGGGGGACGCGCGTCAGGGACACAGGAGGCCCCGCCCACACCCCGCCCAGGCCCCCGGCCCCACCCACCTACCCCTCATTCCACAGGGCCAGGATGTACTTCTTCACCAGGTCGATGATGTTGTCCAGCCACACCCAGAAGGAGAAACCCTTGCCCGCCATGTTCTCCTGCAGGGACAGGGACACCGTCCCGACATCCAGCCCCACAGCCCGGTCCCCACAGCCCAGGAAGGCTCCACAGGGTTGCTTACCTTGCAGAACTTTGCCCACGTGATCTGACAGCCCGAGTAGTTCACACCGGGTCCTGAGGGGAAAGAAGAACAAAGTGGATTCAATCCCCGGTACAAAAAAATAAAGAAGAACAAACTGGAAATGTTTCAGTTTAGATCGAGACTAATTTTTAATCTTGAGACAGGGTCTCGATAAGTTGCCTGGGCTGGCCGTGACCTTTCACCCTCCTGCCTCAGCCTCCAGAGTGGCTGGGATCACCAGCATGCATCACTGCGCCTGGCTCAAGGTCCCCTCTTTTTGTGGCACTCAGGATGGAAATCAGGGCTTTGGCACTGAGCTCCATCCCCATCCCTTATTTATTTATTTATTTTTCCCATCCCTTATTTTTAAATTCTGAGACATGAACTTGCTAAGCTGTTAAGTTGCCCAGGCTGGGCTTGAACTCTTGATCCTCCTGCTTCAGCCTCCCAGAGTGCTGAGATCACAGGCATGCGCCACCAGGCTGGCTTCAAATTCCTTTTTCCTAAGACACAACACATATTTCTCATACGATGGGCCACGAGCAAACTGTTTTCCGTGTATTCAAAGGCTGCCACCGCTGTGTGCGCGCCAGTGTGCACAAGTGTACAGATCCCACATGCACACCTCCAACCCCTCTCCCAGCTGTTGTGTCGCAGGCAGAGGTCGCGTGTGAGGCTCCCAGCTGTGTGCTGGTCTGGGGCCGGGGGACACGCTGCCGAGTGACAGCGGGGCTGGAGGGCAGCACGGGACAAAGCTATTTCTAGCCGAGGTAAATGAAGAACATTCTACTTGTTTTTTGAGAGGAGGAAAATTAGACTAAGCCGGGTGTGGTGGCTCATGCCTGTCCTCCCAGCACCAGAGAGGCTGAGGCAGGAGGAGCGCTGTGAGTTCAAGGTCAGCCTGGGCTACAATTAAAAAAAAAAGACACCACAGACCAGCCGGTGGCCACTGAAGAATGGGAGGCTGTGGCACACCTGTGACACCACCTGGGGCAGCCAGGGGAAACGTCCCAGATGCCAATGGCACACCCAGCCACGCACCTAGGAGCTTCTCGGCCAGCGTGGTCAGCTGCTCGATGCTCAGGCCGCGCTTGGTGGTGGAGGAGAACTGCCAGCTCAGCACCTCGGCCACCTGGTCCCACGTCCCGATCGGGGGCTTGGTGAAGAAGTTCACGTTCTGCGGGGAAGGAAGGAGACACGGCTGCTGTGGGTGGCAGGGGCGACCGGCTGGAGGGCGGCAGGCAGGCGGGCACAGGCTCACCTTGGGGTTGTTGGTCAGCATGTTGTACCACAGGATGGATGCCCAGGCGTTGGGCATCTGGCAGATGTTGGAGATCACCACGACAGGAAGCGAGTGCGTCTGTGGGTGGGGCCCAGTCAGTGCCCGTGTCCCCAGCTGCCTGTGTCAGGCGTGGCAGGGAACGCGGTGCAGGTCACACCAGGCCACTTGGGACACCCGGAGGGAGTAGTGCCGACCGCAGCCCGGGGACAGCACTGGGCTCAAAGCTCCCTCTGGGATCCGGTTCCTGTGTATGAGACTCAGAAATCCAAGACTGGGCTTCCTTCCTTTTGGTTTCTGTTTGCTTGTTGTTTTGAGACAGGGTCTCTCTATGCAGCCCAGGCTGGCCTCGCAGTGATCCTCCTGCCTCAGCCTCCCGAGTGCTGGGATCACAGGCGTGCGGCCCATGCCTGGCTCCAGGTCTGTGTTAATTTACAGAGCAAGAAGGCTGGGAGGCTATCAGCGCCAGGCCTCTCTGCACACCGAACACTGGCTGCTAGGACTCTCGCCGAAGCGTTAGTCAGCCCTTTCGAGCACTGAGGGAGGGTCATGTCCGCTGGCCAAGAGCCAAGTGCACTCAGGGCTCCATTCCCAGCAGGGACACCACGGACTTACTGGAAACAGAACCCCATAGCCGGCAGCCCCCCCGCACCGTACCTCGAGGTCGATCTTGAGGCCCTGGTGGTAGACCTCGGTCTCGAAGGTGATCAGGTGCAGCTCCTCAGTCACAATCAGGGAGGCCTGCGACACGGGAGGGGCACTCAGAGGCCGACAGCCCCATCCAGCCAAGCCACTGGGACTCTCCCATTCCTCGCTCCCGTGCACGCCGGGGACAGAACCTGGGCTGCGTACGTGCTCTGCCCTGCATTGCGCCCCCCACCTGGTTCAAGGGCAGCCTGGCACCTTCAGGGAGCTGAGGTGCCTTCCCCTCCTCCTGCGGAAGTAACCACTCCTCTTTCTTTTGGGTTTATCATTCCCCAGCTTTTCCTTATGACTAACATATCTGCATCACTAAACAATTCTGGGTCACCTAGTTTTGAATGTCTGTGAACGTTATGCCTTCTCCTTTGTGGCTCACATTTCACTTGCTGTGAAATGAACCCATGTGGCTGTGGTTTCTACCTGTATTACTTTTCACGGTTGTATAGTACTCTGTCGCGGGGGTATCAATTCTTCATAGTGTGGATGAGACCTGTCTGGGTTGTATCTAGAGCTCAAAGAGTACTGTGACATTTGTTAATTGTCTGCTGCTGCATTTATGCAAAGATTTCTGTTTTTAAGTCCTGGGGCTGCTCCTGCTGTACTGCCTGACGGGCCCAGGGCCCACACAGGCTGGGCAAATGTTCTGCCACTGAGCCACATCCCCAGCCCAGGGCGTCACAATTTTATTTTTTGTTGTACATTTTATTTTATCACAATTTTTTTAAATGATCAAAAACTAGTTTGCGGTCACGTGTGCCTATTTTTAATTTCTTTCTTGACAATAAGAATCTAATAATCTGAATCACTGGCCACCAACAAAAAAGAAGACAGCAAGCTTGGGCTTCTTTGTTTTGTTTTTGAAACATAGTCTCACTGTGTAGCCCCGGCTGGCCTTGAACTCTCAAGAGATCCTCCTGCCTCACCCTCTCAAGTGCTGAGATTACAGATATGTGCTACCGTGCCATGCTTGGACTGGGTTTTTTAGGGTTTACCTCGGACTTATTTCTCAGCCTTTGTCCCATCTCAATGAGAAAGACGGGTCTCTAAAAAGGCAGCCGGCTGGAGGGGGCCGGGAGGCCTGCTCGAGGGCCGCTTCTTCTCTGGTGCGGTGTGGATGCCACTCGGCGGGGGACCGGGCCCCTGTCCTATACATGGTGTCCCGACACCGGGGACGGCCCACAGCACAGCACCCGGACAGTGACCTTGCAGTGTCCCCGTCCCCGGGCTCCCTGGCACACTCACGTCGCAGTTGGCGCGGCCTCCGTTCCCACATCTCTGCTCCCGGAGAGTCTGGAAGGGAGAGCACGTGTCCCAGCCGCCCTCAGAGCCCTTGCGGGGGTGGGGGGGGTCGGGGGGCGGCGGCGCACGCACCAGGTGCTTGAACTCCGCAGAGAGGCTGCCATTGTTGGACTCCTCCATGTTCATCACCTTTGTGTTGGTGCCCAGGATATTGAACTTCCGGGACCTGAGTCGGGAGCAAGAGTGGCCAGGTGACCAAGTGGCCAAGGGCCCGGGGCGCGGACAGGGTGGCGCCAGGCACCTGGGCTGCACTTACCCACGAAGCGCCGCCACGTCCCCCGAGTCCCTGTGGAGAAGGGGGGGTCAGTGAGCCAGGCCAGCGACGGGTCCGGCTGTCACCGCCCACTGGAAACAACGCCGGTCACCTGTATTTCTTTCTCTCCTCTCCTTTCTTTCTTGGTTTTTTTGAGCCAGGGTCTCACTGTGACCTCAAACTCTCAGCGATCCTCCTGCCCCAGCCTCCCGAGTGCTGGGGTGACAGGTGTGCGCCAACACGCTCAGCTAGAGCCCCTCTTTTGAGACAGCTGGGAATATTCTTCCCAGGGTGATCTCTCTTTAAAGCCTATGTTTTTGGGTTTTATCACTTTTATATTGCATACTTCTTAGTGTTTACATTTAAAATTTTTTTGAGCACCATTTGAAGAGTTCCTCTCGATTTCTGTGCATTCATCTACACTTTTAGGATAGCAGCTACTATTAAATAGTGCATTCCATGTGGTATCCAGAAGGAAATCTATCATTTCAAACCTTTCTCAAGGCATCTTTCCGTGTGTTGCATTTCACAACCTGAGCTGGTGGCAGTGTCACACTTGTGATCCCAGCTCTTGAGAGGCTGAGGCAGGAGGATCGCCAAGAGTTTGAGGCCAGCATGGGCTGCGCAGCGAGACCATGTCAAAAAAACTCAACCTATTTTGAAGCCAGGCTCCTGCTCACTGTCATCCCACCTACTCAGGAGGCTGAGACAGGAGGATCACAAGTTCAAGCCTAGGCTGGGCAGCTTGGCGAGACGCTGTCTCCAGAAGTGAGAATGCACAGGGGTGAGAATGCACGGCAGAGCTCTGCCTAGCGTGAGAGCCCGAGTTCAATCCCCAGGACTCAAAAAGAAACAACAATTTTTGGTTTTTTTAAAATACAGTGATGGGTGCCACACTGTAAAAAGAAGGGGAAATGAGGAACAGCTGTTTGGTCAGGAGGGCGTTTCGGTTTTGCAAGATGAAAACCTTCTGGAGACCTGTTGCATAACAACTCTAATATTCCACTCCTGAGGTGCAGACTCAGATGTGCCTACGATGGTGAATTTCATGTTAGGTGTTTTTTAAATTTTACTACCTGTTAGAATTTTCCAATTAATTAATTAATTTTAATTATTTTTTGTGGTACTGGGGACCAAACTCAGGACCTCGCACTTGCCAGGCAGGCGTGGAGCCGAGCCACATCCCAGCCCTAAAATTTTTAAATTTAAAAGTAAATTGGAAAAAAGACCAACTAAATTGGTTTGCAAGCTGGGCGTGGGGGCGCACGCCTGTCATCCCAGCTCGCTGGAGGCTGAGGCAGGAGGATTGCTGTTGAATTCGAGGCCAGCCTGAGCTACATGGTGAGACCCTGTCTCAGAAAACAAAACAGGAAATGGTTTTGCAATCTTTGCTTATTTTTTTTTCTCAGCTAAGCTATAGCCTGGAAAGCATTTTATAGACTTTAAAGAATCCTCTTCAGGTTCTGGTTGGAGGCACATTCCCTAGGCAGCATCAACAGCTACAGTGAAAGGACCCTCCTGCAGGTCAGGAACATGACGTTCCTTCCCACCACTTTGGAAACTCTCTCTCCCTCACTAACATCACAGAGTTTCCTCCCAATAGGTCCTAAAGCAGTCACTGAATGTATCCTGATTTTTTTAAATTTTTGCTGCTTATCATGAAATCATGTTTCTGTCCTTAAGGGTCTCACTCTGGCCAGGGTCTCACTCTAGTCCAGGCTGGCCTCAAACTCCCAGAGATCCTCCTGCCTCAGCTCCCATAAAGTTACCAACTCTTGCATATTTATCTATTAAACCTACCAGCGGTATCAACCCCCTGACTTCATTAAGAATTGCTCTCCAGGGCCCAGGGTTTTAGCTCAGTGGTTTCACCACCTGCTGCGCAAGCGGAAGGACCCAAGTTCAATCCCCAGTACCAAAAAAAAAAAAAAGAATTGCTCTCCAGTTTATTCTTGGGGGAGAAGCACAGTGATGTCAACAGAGCAGAGCATGCCTTCCCCTGGGTGCTGGGATTTGAACCCATGGCCTGTGCACCCGAGCAAGTGCTCTTTCCCTAAGCTGTATCCCCAGGCCCAGAAACATAAAAAGATCCATCCTTTTCATGTATCCTCCATTTTGGGTAAAATGCATAAATGGCGTTTACAAGTCAAACAACAACGACAACGAACTAGAGACAAAAGGACCGAGGTGACAGCAGTACAATGCGCTGCTGGCCAGCTTCGGAGCCACACGGTGCTTCCCTTCTGTCCTTTGTCTGCGAATGGCAGCTGCTTGGGTTAGGGACACTTACTTGTCGATGCACACTTTAATTTTAAGCTGATAATTCAACTCCGGGAACTTGACCAGCAGCCTGTTGAACAAAAGAAATCGCAACTCAAAGTGAAGTGGCGCTGCCCCGGCCCCTCCACAGCCCCAGACGACCCCCCATGGCCGCCGCGTCCTCCGAGGACTGAAAACCCAAGGCCGAGAGCTGGGGAAAAGCCATGTTGCTCTCGAGGGGGCAGCAAAAGCCACTAGAGAAGCACTCACCCACTCGCCTGCTCTGTGGCTCCATTCCCTCCCGGACTCAGCCCATACCACAGAGTGAGGCCTCGGCTTGGCACCAAGGAAGAGAACCCCTAGGACCGGGGCTCTCCCTGCACATCCCCCAGAAAAGCTCCAAAGCAGGAGTGTGTGGCCCACCTGACTTTGGTGGTGAACTGGACGCCCGTCTTGATGACCAAGGGCCGGTCGGGGTGCATGGGCATGCAGGGCTGCCGCTCCACCACGAAGGCGCTGCGGGGAAGAGGGCAGCTGGTCACAGGCGGCTGTGCCGCTGCTCCACCTGTCACTCAAGGTTGGTCAGGCTCTCTCTCTAGGACTCCATTTCTGTTTTTAAAGGAACGGGAAGCCGGGCGTGGTGGCACACGCCTGTGATCCCAGCTGACAGGAGGCTGAGGTAGGAGGATGCAGCCTGCACTACAGAGCGAGACCCTGGCTCTAGAAAACCAAACACAAACACATGCAGGAGGAGAGCAGAATCCGAAGCCACCTTTTCATCAGGTTTCTGAATAGCTCCACGATCCTCTCCTCCAGCATGGGCCGGTGTTGCACGATGGGGTCACCCTTATAGGAGACCTTCTGCTGCAGCTCCTCCAGCTTCTTAATCTGCTGGCGCGTCTGCAGCTGCGACTCCGCCAAGGAGGTGATCCTGCCAGGGACACAGCCGTCAGGCCACCCGGGTTCCCAAGAGGACGTGCCAAGCCCTGCTCAAGGGACGGGGAGGCAGGACCCCGGGAGCGCTTCCAGGCCAACCTTCCCCAGACTGAAGGTCATCTGTTAGCTTTGCAGCTGCTGCCTGTGGAGCGCAGTGGCAGAGGGCGCGGGGCGGGGGGGGCGCGCAGAGCCTCAGGACCCCGAGTCCTCGGGGCTCTCCCACCCGAGTCACAGCCTCCTGACTGGTCGGTGCCCACTATGGCAGGGCTGTGATTCCCAGCCCTGTGCAAGTCATCGCGACAGAGCGACGTCACCAGAGCATCAACCACTGCTACCTCTGGGTGACAGAGTTTTACAAAGAGGATGTGTTGTTTTAAATCAGTAAAAACTTTAAAAAGTTAAAAATTTTAAGCTGGGCATGGTGGCGCTCATCTGTCATCCCAGCCTTCAGAAGGGGATGAGGTCCAGGCCAGCCTAGGGAGAACCTGTCTCCAAGCACCGCAAGGACGGGGTGTGGAGTAGCTGGGTGGTAGAGTGCCTGCCCGGAGAGAAGACAGAGGCCGCCCTGGCCCGGCGCCTCACCAGTTCTCCAGGCGGTCCAAGCAGATGTTGGGCGGGCCCCCAATGCACGCGATCTGCTGCCGCCGCTTCCAGTCAGCCAGCTCCTCGTCTGTGAGGGTCTTCTGCACGTATTCCACAGCCGACAGCAGCCCTGCCAGCTCGCTTACGATGCTCTGCTCAGACCGAGGCGCTCAGCTGAGTCAGTGCGGTCTCCCACAGGCACCTGTGCCCCGCATGGCTGCCTGCCCGCACTCACCCTGCGCATCTGGTCCAGCGCCGTCAGCATCTGCTCCAGCTGCTGCATCTTCTGCCGCGTGGCAGCCTGGCTGTTCCCGTTCAGGTCCTGCATGTCTGCCAGGAGACACGAGGCTGAGGGCCCGTCTCCCCACCAGGTCGGGTAGCCCGGATCCCTGCACTCGGGAGGCTGAGGCAAGAGGGTCGCCACGAGTTCCAGGCTGGCCTGGGCTACACAGTGAACCTGAGGCCAGCCTAGACTACACAGGAGACCCTGTCTCAAAAACCAAAACAAAACAGAAAGCAAAAAGCAAACCCGAGGCCCTACTGAGAGTGGAACCCCAACCCCCACCCCTGAAGTCTACGCAGAGCCGAGGGGAAGCCCCGAGCTCAGGCCCTGGTCACTCTGGCCCAGCACTGCGTGCCCACTTGCCTCCCTGGCTTTTGAGGGTCTTGTAGTTGAAATCGAAGTCATCCTGCAGGTTCTCCACCACCTTCATTTTCTGCTCCAAGTCCTGTTCCGACCACGGAGTGAACCCGCAAGTCAGAGCGGCGTGGCCATGGCCCAGCACGTCCCGCAGCTCCCTTTTCCATCCCACGCCCTCACCTGCACCCGCTTCCGCACGTCCTGCAGGTGCTGCTCCAGCATCTGCTGCTTCTCCGTCACCACAGCGGCCGTCGGGTGGTTGGCCTGGCCCCCTTGCTGCGGGAGGGGCGACACGCACTGGTGACCCAGGGATTCAAGCAGGGACAGCCTGGCCTCCACCCTGCCATCCTGCACGGCTCAAGACACTGCCCCCACCCTGAGACATGAGGGGAAACCGAGGCAGGAACGGTCTGGGTGTGGTGCCCAGGATGCTTTGCAGCTGCTGGCTGGTCCCCGGCTTCTGACGGCCAGGTCCCCCTGTGGGGCACTCGGCACTGAGGCCAGGTGAGTGGGTAGGGGAAACTCAGAAGGGACGGGAGTCGTGCTGTGGTAGTGTGAGCTTCTGCAGGATCGAGCCCAGCACTGCAAAGATGAGTCACTAAACCCAGAACAACTGTCACGGCAGATGGCAACGCCTATTTCAGCAGGGTGTGCAAGTTGGCACGCCTGTAACAGCAGCACTGGGGAGGCTGAGGCAGGAGGACTGCAAGTTGGAGTCTTGCCTGGGTAACTCAGTGAGAACCCGTCTCAAGGTAAAAAATAAAACAGGCTGGGCTGGGGATTAGCTCAGTGGTTCCGCCACCTGCCTCGAAAGCGCAAGGTCCAGAGTTTCATCCCTGGTACCAAAAAAAAGAAAAAAAAGCAGACTGTGGATGGGGATGTAGTGCAAGGGAGGCCCTGGGTTCAACCCCCAGTACCAGTAAAATGAAAATCAATTGGTGTGCAATACGTTTCTGTGGACTAGGAAGACTGATGTTCTCTAGAGCCAGGCATGGTGGTGAAAACCTGTAGTTGAAGCTTCAGGCTGAGGCAGGAGGATCGAGAGTTCCAGGGCAGCCTGGGCTACACAGCAAGACCCCATCGGAAAAGTCCCGCCCCGGGGAGCGGATCCCGAGCGGATGGGCTTGTCCCAGAAGGGGGGGGGGGCACCCTGAGGTCAGCGACCACGAGACCTGTCAGCCGAGGACAGAGTGGAGCTGAGGGAGGGAGACGTTCTCTACCACCGCTCTCCAAGCGGGGAACCCTCGGGCGCCCAGCGTGAGCCGCTGCCCTCCGGCCGTCAGCGCCCAGGGCTCCGCTTCACCCCCTTGCTCCTGGTCAATCTGCTCTGCTGCCACAAGCCTCCACACAGGCCTGCCTCGCCGTTTGTTTTCATTCTTACTTTATCTTCTGTAGTGGTGGTGACTGAACTCAGGGCCTTCTGGCTGAGCTACATCCTGGTCCCTCGCTTTTTATTTTTTAGGAAAGGCCTTAACAGCTGTCCAGGCTGGGCTTGAACTTGTGACCCTCCCGCCTCAGCCTCCCAATGTGCTGGGCCCACAAGCGCGCGTCACCTGACATGGCTAGAACAAAGTCTGTAAACCACAGGGCCTGCTGGCTTTTCCGGAGGGACGGGGGAGCACCTGACTGTGTTACAGTCTTTGTGGATGGATTCTCGTGCTATGGGTCCAGTTAAGTTTTTTCCTTCTTTTTAGCTGGTCAGCGCCTTGCTGGCCAATTGAGCCTCGCACTGGCCCCAGCGTCTGGCCAAGTCTCACCTGGGCAGCGGTGGCCGCCGTCTGCAGGAGCCGAGACTCCTCCCACAGGCACCGTGCCACGATGCGCGCGATCTCCATGGGCTTCTCCAGGTACCTGCTCTGTGGGGAGGGAGGCAGGAGCTGAGATGCACAGACTGCGGACACCGGCCGGGTGGCTGGGCAGTGGGCATCTGCGATCGCAGCACTCGGGAGGCTGAGGCAAGAGGGTCACTGGCAGCTCGAGGCCTGGGCTACACAGGGAGTTCAAAGCCAGCCCCAGGCAGGTGTCACTGGGGACCGGAAGCTGTGGGCCTGCTCTCTGGACTCCTGTCATCTGGGTCTCCCTGGGAGGTCGCTGACTCTGTCACCGGCACCTGACTGACAGGCAGAAGGGCGGGACACAGATCGGACTCCCAGTGCCGGTGCTGGGTGAGGGAGGGGACTGGAAGCTGAGGCAGGAGGATCAAGGGGCTGAGGAGGCTCAGGAAGCGGAGACTCCCTTCATGGGGTCCAGGTTCCAGCCCTGCCAGGCCCCCTCCGCACCTGCAGGAACTGCTTGATACGGCGCAGGTTGTGCTGGTAGAGGACATTGGACTCCTGCAGGAAGCGGCTGTACTGCTGGTCGATCTCGCCCAGGAGGTTGTGGAACACCAGTGTGGCGTGCGACTCCTTGCTGGCCGCGTACGCCCTGGGGAGGGAGCACCAAGAGGACCAGTTCTGAGACCCTCATTCTGGGAGGCTGAGGCAGGAGGACTGTCGCAGTTTGAGGTCGGCCTGGGCTACATAATGAATTCAGAGCCAGCTACATAGTGAGACTCTATCTCCAAAACAAAGGGCTGGAGCCGGGGATTTGCTCAGTGGTGCCGACGCCTGCCTCACAAGCACAAGGTCCTGAGTTCGATCCCCGGTACTAAAAAAGAAAAAGGGCTGGGGATGGAGCTCAGTGCAAAGGTGGTGGGTTCCACACCCAGGACCAAAACACAAAGCAAAACCAAAGCCAAGCAGATCTGCTGCTATAACCCACTCGCCATTTCTAATCTTTCTTGCTCTGTAACAATTTAGTAATCCCTAACAATTTTTCCAGGTTGGAAAGTCTCTCATAGTCTCTCATAGTCTCTCATAGTCTCTGTGTAAAAAACAAAGAACAAAACAAGAAATTGCTCTGCCGTGTTCCTGGAGAATAGAGCCCGGAACACCTGTACCGAGGGAGCTCTGCCGCCGCCTCCCCGCCCGCTGCCCAGGCTGGCACGGCACACTCACCAGTCCTGGCTCTCAATCCAGGGCGCCAGGAACTGCCGCAGCTCCATGGGGAAGCTGTCGCTGTACAGCTGGTGCAGCTGCTCCAGGTAGCGCGTGTCCAGCTGCTGCAGCTGGTTCCACTGCGCCATGCTGCTGGCTCGAGTCCCGCCTGCAACCGAAGCACCCGTCACCGCCAGCCCTGGGGGGGGGGCCTGGAAACCCCTGTGTCCCCCACACAGGTGGCCAGGTGGGGACAGGGACGCGACGCATGGGGAGGGGCTCACAGGCTTCCCACTTCACAGTGACACACATCCACACGGCTACCCCGAGAGCACAGCTGCTTCGACCTGGGAGGATGAGTCGGCACCATGCCCGCTTCTAGACTCAGTGGTTATTTTTGTTGTTTTCTCTTTTTTTTTGTTACCGGGGATTGAACTCGGATCTTTGTGCTTGCAAGGCAGGCGGCAGAACCACTGAGCTAAATCCCCAGCCCTGTTACATTTTCTTTTGAGACATGGTCTCACCATGTACCCTGGGCTGGCCTCGAACTCATGGTGATCCTCCTGCCTCAGCCTCCTGAGCACTAGGATCATAGGCATGCGCCACCACACCTGACTGAGAATCCAGTATGGACCAGATGTGTGTGAAATAGCTGGGTGTGGTGGCCCATGCCAGTCATCCCAGCACTCAGGAGGCTGAGGCAGGAGGATCACCTTGAGTGCCTGGGGTACATGGTAAGACCCTGTCTCAAAAAAGTAAGCCAAAACAGGCCAGGGATTTAGCTCAGTGGCACTGCGCCTACCTCGAAAGCGCAAGGTCCTGAGTTTGATCCCCAGTACCAAAAAAAAAAAAAAAAGCCCCAAAATAAATAAATTAATTAAAAACAAAAAAAGGAGTTCGTGGAGTGAAAACGCCTCGTGCCCCAGGTCTCTATCTGTTCTTCATGAGCCTGAGGGTCTCAGTTGCGCCCTCAGGGCTGCTCAGAGGATAGCAAACTGCCCTAAGGCCGAATGCTCGAGGGACAGACTCAGGCTTGCTTAATGTGTGTACGGTTGTGTCCAGATGCCTCCAAAGCCTCATGTGCTCTCAGAGGTGGATGAATCCAGAGTGGGAAACTGAGTCTCCGTGGGGCTAGGCCCCAGGGCATCAGGACTGAGGCATGAGTGCTGCAGCCTACGCAGTCTGGGCAAGGCACAGGGGCAGGATGCCGCTGCTAAGGTCCCTTGTGGTTTGTGCTGTCCTCCCCCGCTGCTGCCTGCCTATGGACTGAAATCTCCACAACGGTGAGCCAAATAACCCTCTCCCTGCAACTCTGGGCGGCGGGTATTCGTCTCAGCAATGAGATAAAAGTAACTAACACAGTGGCAAGCCGCCTGCTGCCCTTGCTCCAGGACAGGCGGTAGCTATGCTTAGTCCCTAAGTCTGGGGCGAACAGAGAGCAATCCCGGGGACACAAGTTGGCCCTGGGTGGTCGGAGCGACGGGGAGAAGCTCAGGTGTGAGAAGCCACCACTGACTGCTCAGTCCTCCCTCCCGCAGTTGAATCTCGGGAGTCACTCCAACCCCGCCAGGAGGAGACCTAAAAATAGCTGTGAGTCAGAGCCAAGACCAGGGTGCTACCCAGGCTCCAAGAGTGGCCGAGGGCAAGCTCCACACGGAGCTGGAGCAGCCCCAGTAAGAAATCAAGGCTGTGGATGTGGGGCACATGCCGGTAGCCCCTGCCCAACGGAAGCTGAGGCAGAAGGGTCTCCACGCGTTCCAGGCCAGCCTGAACTACACCGCAAGACCCTGATTCAAAACCAAGACAAAACCAAGGCCACTGCACACTTACACTAACACAGGCCCTCAGTGCACAGAAACCCATGTCCCCATTTCTGCAGCTTCTACACCATGAAGATCTGTCAGACTCGAGTCCCCTCGGCCCAGGATGGCAGAGTAGCCAAGTGCGGCCACTCAACATTTGAAATCAGGTTGCCCCTAACCAGGTGAAGCAGGCAGGCCAGTCATCCCAGCGCTCTGGGAGGCTGAGGCAGGAAGACCACAAGTTTAAACCCAGCCTGGGCAGCCTACTGATGTAGCGAGATCCTGTCTTAAAACAAAAAACCTAAAAGTCTAGGGAGGCACCTCAGTGTGCAGGCCCCAGTTTAATCCCAAGTACCACCAAAAAAGGACAAAAAGTCTTTAGATAAACTGGGCTAGGCCAGGCGTGGTGGTGCACACCTGTAATCCCAGTACTCAGGAGGCTGAGGCAGGAGGATCGCTGTGAGTTTGGGTCCAGCTGGCCTCCAGTGAGTCCAGGACTAACCTGAACTACATAGCGAGATCCTGTCTCCAAAAAAAAGGTTTTAAGAAGAAAAAAAAAAAGAATTTTAAGCCTGCAATTTACATTCACTCCATGGAACCCAAGTGGACTGCACAACACTGTGTGCTAGGCACTGTGCAGAGTGCAGGGAGAGGTGGCAGGGGTGGCCGCCAGTGGCTGCCTCAGGCCCGGTCAGGACCGCTCTGATCTGCTCCGTTCTGCCCGCGTCATCGTTGGGAGAAGCGAGTGAACGAGCGCTGCGCAGGCGACCCTGGGAAGGGCCCGGACCCACACTGCGCAGGCTCCGAGCGGGCCCCACCCAGGGTGCTTCAGAAAGGGAAGAGGGAAGGCGAAACTCTCGGAGATGAGGCGCACGAACAGGAATCCAAAACAGAAAGTGCTCCCCAGAGAGTTTCTGTTCCACCCTGTGTCACGAGAGTCCCCCTGGGTTAGCCACACTTTGCATTAAAAATATCTCTTTTTTACCCCAACATGGTAGCGCATGCCTGTGAGGCCAGCACTTGGGAGGCTGAGGCAGGAGGATCGCCACGAGTTCCAGGCCAGCCTGGGCTACATAGCAAGGCTCTGCCTCAAAAAACCAAAACAAAGTTAAACAAATAATATTTAAAAATCAATCAAGCTGGAAGGCACTGAGGAAAGGTTTACACTAAAGAAGGAGGGGTGACTTGGACAGAGGCGCGTGGGCCAGAGGCCGGGCTGGGGGTGCCAGCTAGACAGCTCCCCTCGCTCAGTCTTCGCAGTGCCACCCGGCTCTGGCCCCAAGACACGAAGCTGCCGCCGGAGCAAATGCTGCAGGAGTCAGGAAGGGAGGTGTGTCGGGAAAGGGTCACGCAGTCCAGCTATGGAGGGACCCTGCCATCCCCAAGGGGCTGCACGGAAATCAGCTGAGGGCGGGGATGCAGCTCGGTGGCAGCACAGCCCACCTGGCAAGTGTAAGGTTCTGAGTTCCATCCCCAATACCACGAAAAACAAAACAAAAAACAAAAGAAAATCCACTGAAACCTGAGTGTCTCCCTCACTTCCAGTGCGGACGTCCCCTCCCGACCTCCACTAGGGCGCGGCACTGGCCTTACACCATCCCTATCCCAGCCACTCAGGAGGCTGAGGCAGGAGGACTGCAGCAAATTCAAGTCAATCGTCTCAAAAAAAACACCCAGGGGGCTGGGATTTAGCTCAGTGGTTTCGCTGCCTGCTGCGCAAGCACAAGGACCCCAGTTCGATCCCCGGTACCAAAAACAAACAAAAACCACCCAGTAATAACAATAATAAACAATAAAGAAAATAGAAAGGACTGGAGACGCCATTCATTGGTAGACACCCTGGGTCCAATCTCCAGTGGCACCGAACGTTAAATTAAAAAGTGCTACTGTGGTGGGATAGCACGGATCCTGCAGCCACACTGCTGGGACTGGAACCCTGATCTCAACACTGAGACCCCGCTTCCTCATCCCCCTTGTGCCTCAGTTTCCTCATCTGTGAAGGGGAGAAGGCACAACCCTTCTGTCCCTGTGGGACACGAAGCTCTCTGGACGGGGCCAGACCACCCCACTGCTTGGGCTCAGAGTCCTGGCCCAAGCACCTTCGCCTGCACCACCCCGTGGCCACCAGCGGGCGCACTTGCAGGAAGCCGGGCCCAGAGGACGAGGTCCCCAGCCTCAGCCCTCGCCTCCGTCTCCCGGCCGCCCGGCGGCCCTGCCGTCCTCCGTGATGGGGGCCTGTCCCCTCCCTCAGGGCCAGCTAGGCCCATGAGGACCCTGAGCTCGGAGCAGCACAGTGCACCGGGTGCAGCGGTGTGCGCCCAGCACCCCAGCACTCAGGAGGCTGAGGCAGGAGGATGGCCTGAGTTGAGGCCACAGTGAGTTCAAGGTCAGCCTGAACTACATAGAGACCCTGTCTCAGGAAAAAGATGTATTGTTCAGTATTTTAACTAAAAACTGTGAGCACAATGTTGGGAGACAGGAAGCAACGGCTGTGGTGAAAGAGCCACATTTCACCCTTGCAACAGAAAGCTAACTGGTTTCTCAAATTCCTCATGATGGCAGGGTGCCTCATACTTATAAATCCCGGCACTTAGGAGGCTGAGGCAGGAGGGTCCTGAGTTGGAAGCCGAGCAGATCCTGGGTTTACCACATGGAAAAAAGCAAACAGCAGTGTCTGCCTGTTTTGGTTTTTTTGTTTATTTTTTGGTACCAGGGATTGAACTCGGGTCCTTGCGCTTGTGCAGCAGGCAGTGAAACCACTGAGCTACATCCCGAGCCCTTCTTTTTGTTTTGTGAGACAAGGTCTCACTATGTAGCCCCGGCTGGCCTCGAGCTCACTGGGATCCTCCTGCCTCGGGCTCCCCAGTGCTGGGCTTGAATTTGGTGATTCCCCCCACCCCCACCCCCGCTCAGTGCCAGGGATCGAACTCAGGACCCTGCGCTTACGAGCCAGGCACCACTGAGCTACACCCCAGCCCCAAATGTGGCAATTCTTATCACTGGCGCTCCTCCCAGGGGGTGGGTCTGGGCTTGGGGGACAGGGACCTGTCCTGTCGCCACCTCTCCTCTGCCACTGTGGCGGAGAGAGCCGTGGATGAGGAGGCTGAGCCGGAGCAGATACCTGGTCCTCACTCCTTGCAGCCCAGATGGACTCTGGACTGGGGACTCTCCTGCCTTATTCTCCCGAGCGCTAAACCCTTCCGCGCTAACTCCAGCCCGGGGCTCTGTCCAACCCTCGAGCCGTGCTTCCTTCCTGAGACAGGCCGCCTGGAAGGCTGGGCGTGGTGGCGCACACTTGTCACCCGTCATTGGGAGGCTGAGGCAGGAGGATCGCAAGGAGTTTGAGGCCTTATCTCAAAACAGTCAG